TGTTTAGAAGTTACAGAACTTGTACATTCTGCATGCTTAGGGATCACTAAATATCTGTGTCTTTAATAGTGTAGGATCACTTCTAGTCAAGGAAGATCTGTAGAACTGAGCTGTGACAGCCTATGAGGTATGTGTGAACTTTGGCTGTAAATCTCTAGCAACAACTATCTGTCTCAAATTTTATTTGGTAAAATAAAACCTAAAATCAACCTTTAATGTGTACTTACAAATGTGATACTGGCTGAATATGATATGGTAGAACCTAATAACCTATTTGGATATTGTTGGGGGCATTGTGTGGAGGATGGTGGTAACTGAGAGACAGCATCACATGGAGCAGTGGCCTTAACATATTTTTCACTGCAATCCACAGTCATTTGATGTTGCTGTCCTGTAGCAATACCCTGCCCTCCCCCTAAAAAAAGTCATTACTCCATCTTGCTACCTGTAGTGATGGCTGATCTTTTCTTTATCCTATTTTATTAAAAAAAAAAAAAAGACACTCCTAACCCCCTAAATTAATTTCACAGCACGTTAATCCTACAGATTGAAGAACGCTGACATAGAGATTGAAGACATAGATTTTGGCACTAGAAAGACATAGGTTCAAGTTCTGGTTCTGTCACCTGCTCTGTGTAAGCTTGATCAAGTTATGTAACTTTTTTGAGCTTCACTTTCCTCATTTGTTAAAATTGAGATGATATCCGTTTCATAGGTTTGTTGTGAATATTAAATGGTGTAACCTGAGTACAGTGGTAGTGCCAAGCACTTAGTAAGCACACAATAAATGACTGTTTTGATTGCTGTTGCCAAAGTTTGTTAGTTTAGGGAATTGGTAGGATGCCATTGATAATAATGGAAAATCTTATGCAGAGGAAAATCAGTTCAGTTTTAGGCATGTTAGAGTTTGAGTTATTATAGGTAGCCAAAAGAATTTAGACATTTGGGAACAGGCCTATATGAAATAGTCTGAAATTAGCCAAATTTAGAAATGTAAGCATTAAAGATTTGGGAACTTAATGATTGAGCCCTTTCAGAGCTACACAAACTTAACTCAATTGTACATAACTGTTTCATTCTACCAAAATTCTAACATTCTCCAAAACTTAAAATGAGGAATCTGTCATTTGTATGACTCCTACCATAATTAGTAGAAGTAGTGATATCTACCAGTGATAGGTAGTTATGTGGAAAAAAGACAAGACTTGGAATTAAACCTACCCTGGTAGTGCAGTGGTTAAATATTCGGCTGCTAACCAAAAGGTCAGCAGTTCAAATCCACCAGCCGCTCGTTAGAAACTCTCTGGGGCAGTTCTACTCTGTCCGAAAGAGTTGTTAAGAGTTGGAATTGACTTGACAGCAACCGGTTTGGTTTTTTTGGTTTTTAGGTTCTTCTAACTAGTCACCCCCGAGCTGTCTTAATCTCTATGCTTCTTCATCTGTAAAATATGCTTGTTTCACAAAGTTGTGATTATCAAAGGAGAAAAGTAAATGTAGGATACGTTATCTCCCTGGATTAGTAAAACACCAAAAACATAGCAACCCCATCAGACAGAGTAGAACTTTCCCATAGGGTTTCCAAGGAGTGCCTGGTGGATTTGAACTGCTGACCTTTGGTTAGCAGCTGTAGCTCCTTAACCACTCCGCCACTAGGGTTTCCAGTAAAACGCTGTTCTGTCAGAATAAAACAATTCATGATTGGTTTTAGATTTAGACGGAAGTGAACATAGCATTCTTTGTAATATAACAGCAGGAGATTGACAACATTCACAACATGTCTTAAGAGAAAAAGTGTGGGTATGGATAAAAAAGAATCCATGTGCGTCTTGGCACACATTTTATGTAATAATGTGATATTAATTTATAAAGACTAAATATTATATTTAAATGAATTCTTACAGCTGATCCTGATACTTACAAAGTCTGACTAGCATGTGTACAAGATACTGTTGGCCAAAGTGTTTGTTCAGTAGTTTAGATTATAAATAACACCTGTTCTAGCTCATTTTAAACAATGTAGTATGAATGATGCCAAAAAACCAGGCTGGAACATTTTCTTCTCTCCCAGATCTTAGATTTTGTAAACAAGGCTCTGCTCCTAGAACCAATCAGGGTCATCATACCCCAAAATCTTTGGAAGGATGAGAACCCCAATTAAGTCTTTCAGGTACTTTTAAGATTTTAATTTTAAGAATCTTTTAGCCCTTAGCCCTTAAAAAATGCACGGTATAGTTGGATTACATTATCCCAATACAGACCTAATAGCATAATATTTCATTTTTTGAATGAAAACTGTTTTAATGAGAAAAAAACCATAAATATCTCTATTTTACACAGCTGTTGACAGTGTTAAATTTTGGCTGTTTAGTCTTCCTTGAGACCTAGTGAAGTCATACTAAGCTGTTAAATATGTTATTAAATGTGACACTTCAGAAATTTTTCAGAATATCAGTGCCATACAAGTAGTCAAGATTTAAATTTTGTTTGGTAGTCAAGATTTAAATTTCATCCCCATTGTTAATGTAGATACTACTCATGTATTGTCCTTAATCTGTTGAGGGGGGAGTGTTTTGGCACATTTCACCCTTTATTAACATTCTTTAGAACTGATGTCTGCAGAGGAAAATAAAAAGTATTTGAGAGCCAAGTGCTGGGCTAGGTGGTTTATAGCCCGAAGGAAATTATTATTCCCATTTACAGATGAAGAAGTAGGCTCAGATAGGTTAAATAATTTGATAGCACAGCTTGTAAATGGGAAGAACTTGAACCCCTAGACTGCTTGGCTCTTCTGTCTTATGTCTTGCTGCTTTAAGGGATCTTTGCAGTTGTGAGGTTGGATTTTGTGCAAACATGTTTACACTACCACACCTAAACTTTTCCCACTATAGCCCAGAAGACCACCAGGGACGATGATATTCTGTTTGTGAAGCATGTTACTATTTTCAAAATTGTTGTATCTTATCCTACTTTATCTTCACAACAAACCAACAATGCAGGCAAAAAAGAATGATTCCTGACTTAGAAATGAGGGATTTGAGATAAGTGATCAAGGTCACAAAGCTGGTTAGAGGTAGTTTTTACCAGAACTCAGACCTGTGGTTTCTGGTTCAGTGCCCTTTTCTACTTTCTTGCACTTCTCTGGATTAGGTAGGTGATCTGTGATAAGGAAGTAGTGAAGTTTTACAGATTGAACCTTTTATTGTTGTCCTTATGATCATACTACAGCTGTAGCCTGGCTCTCTGTTTAGCAGTCAAGTCCTGTTTTCATGTGTTATAACTAGTACATTAATTTCAGTTTTGAGTTATAATGGGGCTGTAGTGCTGGTTATTGAATGAGTTATGAGTGGAAAATGCTAACTTGAGATTTCTGTATTTAACCTTTTTCTTGGTTGATGCCATATTTGCCTTATGGAAACATATATAAGGAAGGAATTGTTAACGGAAGGATAGTACTGGTTTAAGAGCACTCATTTTTGATTTAGGAAGACCTAAATTTGAATCCTGGGTCTACATACTTGGTTGTGTGGGACTTTGAGCATGTAACAAGCCACTTTCCTCATTTGTGAGCATAATGGTAACTGAGGATTAGAGGAAATGCATATGTAAAGAAATTGGTACGCTGTTTGGCCCATGGGCCTGTATGTGTGGAAGCTATTTAATCATTGCCTTTGAAGAGTTCTTCTTTTCTGCTAGCAATATTTCTTTTTGTTTAGAAAATGTTAAAGATAGCGTGATTTTCTATAAAGTATCTTACTATCAGTAGATAAATCTCGATTATTTCTGTTGATCGAGGGCATAGAACTTAAACAGTTGATATTTAGAATTTTTCCATTTTCTATTTGATAGTTTTAAAAAAAACTCTTATAGAAGATCGTTTAAAAAAAACTTATAGAAGATCTTTCCAGTTTATTTCCTTGCTTTAGAATAATATAAGTAGTTTATATTTTTTAACTGATCCATTTGGAGAGCATGCTTATGATCATGCTCGCTGGGATGCACGGGGAAAGGGGTTTGTCATGGCTGGGGTTGAGAGTTGGGAACGTAATGTAGAATTTCATGTTATTCAGATTTTTAGCTTATAGACCTTTGAGATTTACAAGGTAGATAATATGCCATTATTTTATAGCATACCCACTATAACTTTGTGCACCAAGACGAACAAACTAGCAAAAAGTGAGCATTCTTCAGAAATAATATAAAGTACCATTCTGAGAATTATTGGAAAACTGTAGCACAGAGGAAGCATTATTAAATCCAACCATCTCTCAGCTGAGTTTTATTTTTCAAGGTGGTGTCTCTAGGAGTGCATTTTGTCATTTATAATTATATGCTTCTGACTAAATAAATGTAGTATCTTTTTCTATAAGTTCTGTCTGTGATGTTAATCAAGAGTTTTAGGTTACAGATATGATATCATTAGTTTTTACTTTAAAAGTCTAAGGATTATAACTGAAAGAAATTTTTCCAAAAACATTTTAAAGATTATGTATTAGTCTTCCTTTTTTAAAAGGTATAAGAAAAAGTTAATTTTGAATTATAAATTTATTAATTAAAAAATTTGGTTTCCTTTCACTTCTAGTTGTATGACTTGAGTAAATAAACTTTTAAGCTAATTCCCTTATTTGAACAATGAAGATAATGATACTTGTTCTATGGGGCAGTTCTACTGTGTCCTGTAGGGTCACTGTGAGTTGGAATTGACTCAGTGGCAACGGGTTTGGTTCTATTTACCTCATATGATTGTGGAATGAAATCAAATAGTGTATGGGATATAAATCAAGCATGGCTCTAGGTACTTTACATCCACTGATACGTTATTCAACACATTTTTTTAAAAATAATCTTTTGTTGTGTTTTAGGTGAAAGCTTACACAGCAAATTAAGTTCCCCTTTAACAGTTTTTATACAAATTGTTCTGTGCCATTAGTTAAAATTTTCACAATGTGTCAGCATTCTCATTATTCCCATCCTGTTTTTTCTGTTTCCATTGATCTAGCTTCCCTTCTACTCCTTGCCATCTCATCTTTGCTTTTTGGTCTCATATAGTTAATTGTTTAAGGGAGCACATATTTCATGGCGGATATTGTTTATTTTACAAGCCAATCTATTATTTGGCTGAATCAACACATTTGTTTGAGGGCCTAGAATGCTGCTAACCAAAAGGTTGACAATTCAAACCCACCAGTTGCTCTGCAGGAGAAAGATGTGGCAGTCTGCTTCTGTAAAGACTTACAGCCTTGGAAACCCTATGGGGGCAGTTCTACTCTCCCCTGAAAGATTGCTATGAGTGAGACTTGACTCGATGGCAGTGGGTTTGGTTTTGGTAGAATGTTCAAGGCATTGTGCTGGGTGCTAGGGTTAAAGCAATTAACTAAACAGACATGGTACCTCCTTTTATGGCACTTACAGTGTGGCAGAGGAGACTGTCATAGAACCAGCCATTTTGCAAATAATTATTTAACATTTTATGGGTTTAAGTACTAAGAAAAAGTACTGGGGGCCTGAGACTAGTCTTGGATCAGGGAAAACTGCCCCAAGGGAAGAAAAATTGAAGCTGAGATTTATCGAAGGAAGAGAGTATGGGGGAGCACTCCAAGCAGAGGAGGAATAACATTTGCAAAGACTGTGAGTTTGAAGAAGTTTGAGGGTCCTCAGTAACCAACAGACCCGACTGGCCTGTAGTCCTGACAATAGCCCTGTGAGTTAACTCCATTTTACAGATGAGGAAACTTAAGTTCAGGACATTTCAGTAATTTGTACACGACTCACCATTATTAAATGGCAGATTTCGCGATTTGAACCGAGGTCAGCCTGACTCCAAAATCCTCGCTCCATTCTTTTTCCTGAGTCACGTACCTGAGGCTTATTGTATTTGAAAACATATCTCCCTTGTCATTTCCTAGAGGGCTTAGCAGCTCCCTCTTTGGCTAAGTGTAGAGTCAGTGATCAGATTCTTTACTTACACTAAGGTAATACTGAGATTTAACTCTTACGTGTTACATTTACTTTTTAAACATGTTAATTGTTAGCTGTAATTAATCCCTAATCCTTTGACTTTCAGACTGTATAGTGGGGAAGGAATCCTGTGGATACTGGGGTAGATATTGAAACTGCAGTGCTGTTCATGGCCCCTCGTTTAAAAATAGCCCCTTGGTGCTCATTAAGTCTAATAAGTAACTGTTATAAAAAGGAACTTAATCTGTACTAATGAAGTACTGTTCGTGTCTGATTTATCTACTGCGGTGGCAACATCAATAAGTGGCTGGTGGTAGATGCTTTAGTACTGCCAACATTTCCATCAGCCACCACCCTTTACCTCCAGAGACTCAGATAAGTAAAGATTTGAGTAATAAATATCATACTTCAGCTGCAACTGCAGCCTCTTTCCACAGTCCTAGTGGTGGCTCTAGGATATCTATGTAAGAGAGTATAGAACTCCTAGAGCCACCACTGACAGTAATGCATTTTATTGGAAGAGGGAAAATAAAAAGGGTTCCATTGCTTTAAAAATTTGAAAACCACTATTCTAGTTCATGTGATACTCAGGGAAAATATTTCTGAAATGAGAAATTTTTTTGATCCTTCATATCTTCTCCCCCTACCACCTGCATTGACCCCACTAAACAACTGTATAAGTTGGGAAGGGATTTTGTTATTGTTATTGTTAAAGCTTGTGGAAATACTGTGAACTCATACAGCGAAGCCTAGTACTTGAAATCTGAAAAAAAATCTACTGTACCTTCGTATCTCCAGGTGATTTTATGATAAAGAAAGTAAATGAATTTAGGCTAAATGTCATTTTTGTTTTATGTAAGAAGAGATGTTTTTATGCAAATACGTAGTAAATCTTTTGTCAGATTTTACTACGTAAATGATTGTTTTTCATTTTTAATCAACATCAGTTTTTCTTACCTTCTTAAATGGCACTGCACAAATTTGTGGGGGTACTATTTCTGGTCCTGTTCCATTTAAAATAGCTGATTGTGCTTTTCAAGGAATTTGAAGTTTGTTGTAAAGTAACTCATAGTTGTAGGTGGATGGAGGTTGATGGTTCGTTCTAATTGTTGTGCGTTTTTGTATTTCTGTATTTTCAGAGGATTTCACTTCGTAGAACCCGATTTACTTGAAAGGTGAAGTAAATTGATTCCCTCCCCCACGCCTCTTTGTCCTCAGTTTTATGTGAAACACTGATTGAAATAAATTTTAGCTTTCAAATTTCTTCCTTTTTGAAAGCAAGCAGAGACAGATTTTAGAGACCTACACTAGAATACTTTGTCATTATCATTCTACTGTTCTTTCCTTTCAAGTTGCCTAAACACAGCTGAATTCTAAGAGGAGCAAAGAAAACATGACAGTGCTGCCAAGTAGACAGGAAGCTGTAGTGGACCTAGTGAGCAGGGAGGCTGAGCACACCCTTTATCCAATCAGCTGTGAGTGCTGTTGCTATGTGCGCTCTTACTCTGCTGCCTTTGTGAAAAACCTTACAGAGGGAAGCAGAGCAAGCACCCAACGCAGAACATTTGTTTTAACCACTGCAGACATCTGGATCCCTGAGTTACTACCAGTGTAGCTCTTGACAGCCAGAAGGCAACTTCTTTTACGCAAGGATTCCAGTATGGTTTTCAGTGGAAACAATGGGCTTCACAGAGAAGGTGTGTAACTAAGTGATTTCAACGGCTTTATTTTGAAGCTTCCAATTCTCAGTAGCTGTTTACCAGTTGTGGTATTTGTTTCACATGGATTTTTAATAATTAGGTCTAAGAAAATGATTGCACTTTGAAAAACATTGAACTTAGCAAATTTTCTTTAGCTTCATATGGCCTGTTTTCTTTGAACAGCATTGCTTAATTAAAAGATTATTAAAATGCTGATCTGAACAATGAGTAGGAAGGAAAGAACCAAAATACAATGTGCTCATTTTAATGGGGGAAAAAATATGATAGAAATGAGAATATTAGAAAAAGAAAAAGGGTTAGCCAGAAGCATTAACTGTATTTGGGAGTGGGTTTTTAATAACAGCTGTTAAGGAGAATGTATTTAAAATAAGTTACATATATTTAATTGAAATTTATTGTTTCTGAATTTGACAGTGATTGTCAGAACTTAGCTTATTGAAATTTTTGACATATTTTAAGGAATTTGTATGCTGTCTTTTAATGAAGTATTCTGAAGATGCTGCCTCAAATTGTGCAGTGTCTTATTTGAGCCATTGACTAGTTTTGTGCAGTTCAGATAAGAATAGTAATATAATGTAACAGAAAATTCAGTGCAGCATTCTATTAAATTGCCCATACAGAAATTGAAGAATAAAGAATTTTGAAAGCAACATACCACAAATGGGTAAGATAGTATTTTAAAATTAAAGTAGGCTTCCCAAATGTAATAATTTTATATCTGACTTAATACTGCAAATGTAAAATTTACCACAAGTAGTTAAGATAGTATTTTAAAATTAAAATAGGCTTCCCAGATGTAATAATTTTATATCTGACTTAGTACTGCAAGTATAGTAAAATTTTAACAGTTTAAATCTCACAATTTCAATATTTGTAGCATATAGGCTATAGTTTGTTTTTATGGTATCTAGAAGAACCGGTTTGTCCAACAGATTACAGGAAAGTTTGAACTATTTTAGATAAACAGGTTTTTTACATATCCTCAAATCCTGGGAAATTATGAAGTTTACATAATTGATTTAGCTAACAATTCTTCTAAATTAACTAAAGCAGAGCTCAAGACTAGTTAGCGTATTGCCCATTGTATGAATAATCCATGGTGAGCTAATAATTTTTTACTTATTCATTTTTTTCACATGGTCATCTACTGGTTCCTTTTTAATTCATTCAGTCATTTATGTCTGATGAGTAAAGTTAGTATAATACAAACTCCAGTATCTAAGCTTTATTTGTTATCTCTACAAGCGATGTGTTTTGGAATAGGATTTTTGTTCTCGTTATTTTTAAGAAGCTCTGTCCTTAGAATGGCTTGCAGTCAGTGTTAGCATTATTTGTTGAAGAGAGATACTATTTTTCCTTGAAAAGAAAAATATGTCATGCTTTTTGTGCCCTTTGCTGATCGTTTTTAGTGATACATGTATAATATTTGATTAATTTAAAAAGACTTCAAATAGTAGGTACAAGTGTATAAAATAATTTGTCCTTAAACAGTAAAAAAAAAAGTTTCACGTGGGCCTACAAGTTTAAAAGACTGGCATCTCTTAGTTTTTCCAGTTTGCTAGATGCAGCCCTTAACTTGAACTTGATAGAAGTTATCATAAAAATTATAGCAAAATAAAGTTATTATATTACTTGGATTTGATGACATCCACAATATAAAGCACTGATTTCCAGAAGAGGAGGGGTGTGTGTAGGTGTGTGTGTGCATGTGTGTAGGAGGTGTGGGGTGGGATGTGTGTGTGTAGGAGGTGTGGGGTGGGGTGTGTGTGTGTGTGTGTGCATGCCTGTGTGTGTGTGTGTAGGAGGTGTGGGGTATGGTCTGTGTGTGTTGTATGTAGGAGATGTGGGGGGGGGGTGTGTGTGTTGTGTAGAGGGTATGGGGCTACGGGAGTTGGGTAGAGGTGGAGACATGCAGAGAGGACCCAAGCTCATTAAATACAATTCTGGCTACATGGAGTCAATCTAGTAATTTTAATTTTTTGAACTATCACTCTCAATTACTAATTTAATTTTCTCATCGTGCAAGTACAAAAACCAAAGTGTTGCTTAAATTGATTTGCTGCCCCTCCTCCCTTGGTTTATTTCATAAGAATTAGTAGAATTTAAAAGCACAGGCTGGTTTCATTCATATGCTGCAAAAGCTGGAGTAACATGAAATTGGCAAAAAGTTGGATCTACTGCTGTATCACACAAAGGTTTGCCATTGTGTTGCAGGAGGAACATTCTTGGCAGAATCTCAGACTTTACTCCTGGACTCAGTACCTATAGATGTTGTGTGTTGGAGTATCTCAAAGTTCCTGTTCATTATCAAGATCTCAGGGTGCTGATGTTTATAATTTTGTCAAATATAGTAACATTGCTACCATATTTCAACTCTTTGAATTTATTATTTCTGCAGTAGAATTCTTTTATCTTTAAATTGGCTACCTTTTTTGTATTTGTAAGTGGAAAAATATCAGTTCTCAAAAACCACGATTTTTTTTGGTCTTAGCTATTTGATAAACAGTAACAAACAGATTTGCTAATATTCGTCAGATGCAGTGATTGCTGTAACTGATTTTACTTTAAATAAATTTAATATGTAAGTACTGTCTCATTTACAGTTCTGTAATTTAAAATTTTTTTAATTAAAATCTAAAAAATTCTGCACTTTAAAGGAGTAAAAATCCGTGTTTTTCCTTTTCTCTAGGTCTTCTGTTAATTGTAATTCCTGCTTCAGATATTATCACACGTGTTTTAGTCCTGTATGTACACCTTAAGTGTTCTATAACATAATGTTCCTGTGACTCTTCTTGCAGAAGTTTCATTACTTGTTCATATTCTGAATCCAAAAAGGATTTACTTATCATAGTCAGCTGAGCAGAGAAGTTTGATCTTGACAACTTTTCGTCAGGCATTTTCACATATTAAACAGTGCAGTTGCTTAAACTATATTGCTTTTTTTTTTTTTTTTATATCTTCAGATGTCACTGTATCTAAAATCAAAGACTGAGTTTTAAAAATATAATTAGAGTATTACTTGAATCTGATTATATAACCCTTTGTGATAAGGCTGAGTTACAAAAGTGGCACATGAGGACTGTTAATTGAGAAACTGGAAATATTTTCTTGTTCTTTCTTCTTTTACTCATTTTCTTCAGTTTTACTCTTTGAAAGACTTCTGAACATGAAAGGATTCAAATGAGATGGTTTATGATAAACACAGTGACAGCAAAATTATAAATTACAGGATATATTCAAGATAGGATCGAAAAAATAATCAGTTCCTAAGGCTCATAGTTGAGTGTCAGAATTTGCTTTAAGCTTCCAGTCATCCAGAATATGAAGAGGAAACAATGCCAGTTGTATTTGTCCCTGCTGTTTAGTATTGTATTGCTAAATTTAACATTGTATTGCTAAACATTTGCAATTAAATTTAGGTTGGTTTCTGTTTTCTTAATATTTTGAGGGTTTTTTTTTTCCTCCAATTCAGATTTTGGGTGGCTTCCCATGCCTGTCTTGTGTAATTAACTATTATTTTGCTACGTGATAGTGAGCGTGTTATTTTACCTCTCTAGGCCTTAGTTCCCCATCATTGTGATAACATTTTAAGGTTGGTTTAAATGAAATAGTGCATAAAAACTGCCTAGATTAATGGCACAGAGCAAACACTCAGTAAAATGTGAGCTTCTTATTGTAGTAAGCTTCCCTTTTCTTTAAAATAATTCTACATAAAAATTGTGAACGTTTTCAATTTTCTCAGTATTTTGAGAATTTTAAGTATTGTTTTTTAGTCTTTCCCCTGAACCTGCCCATTTGCAGATAAATAAGGTTTCTGAATTTTCTAAGGTAGTTCAGGATCTGGAAAGCCACGGAAGTACAGGGTTTGGGCAGCAGAGAGGGCAGGGCTGGGGGAGAAGTACATAACTAAATCTGTGAGGAAAGATGAAAATCAATAAAGGACGAGTAACGTGGGAAAATAGAGAAGAAATGTCAGAAGGAAACAGTTGTTTGATGTAGTGTTATTTTTGAGGTATTTGTGTGTGTACATTTGTAAGTGTGGCTCAGATGCAGAGCTGATTGACTACAGTTGCTATATCCCCTAGGGATTTCTGAGTTTTGTTTTGAATTCCTCAACCAAGGTTGGACTAAGGGTGACCTTGTAGCTTCCACCTGTATTAATGACACAGGACAAGACACATGCCTAGGGGCCAGAAATTAAATGTCATCACAGATATGATCAGTGTAACTATCTTGAAATATAAGAACCTCCAGAATAAAAAGTCTGGTGGTATAAGGCCAAATACTAAAAGCTCAAACTCCCAAGCCAAAAAGGTTCAGAAAATACTCTTTTATTTGTCATTTTAGTAAGTGCCATGGATTGAATGGTGTCCCCCCAAAATATGTCAACTTGGCTAGGCCATGATTCCCAGTATTGTGTGATTGTCCACCATTTTGTCATCTGACGTGATTATCCTACCTCTATGATGTTAATGAGGAAGGATTAGAGGCAGTTATGTTAATGAGACAGAACTCAATCTGCAAGATTAGGTTGTGTCTTAAACCAGTCTCTTTTGAGATATAAAAGAAGTAAGCAGAGAGACATGGGGACCTTGTACCATCAAGAAATAAAAGCCAGGAGAATAGCACATCCTTTGGACCCAGGGTCCCTGCACTGAGAAGCTCGTCAACGGCGGGGGGGATGATTGATGACAAGGACCTTCCCCTAGAACCGACAGAGGGAAAGCCTTCCTGTGGAGCTGGTGCCCTGAATTGGGACTTCTAGCCTCCTAGACTGTGAGAGAATAAATTTCTCTTTGTTAAAGCCATCTTCTTGTGGTATTTCTGTTATAGCAGCACTAGATAACTAAGACAATAAACCAAAAAAAAAAAAAAAACCAAACTCTTTGCCGTTGAGTAGATTCTGACTCATAGCAACCCTACAGGGCAGAGTAGAACTGCTCCATAGGGTTTCCAAGGAGCAACTGGTAGATTTG